GATCATTAAATCTGAAATTCATACCTGTTGCATGAGCGAGTGTCTTAATGAATTCGCTAGATCCATAGATAAATTATAAAATGCTTTCAGTGTCTGGTATTGGGTTTGAGTCTTAATGTGAACAACAACAATGAGATTCAATTTCCTTAAGCTGAAGAATCTCAATTAGGGAAAAAGGTTGGTTGATTCCACTACTCACCATATTTTATCAATTCTATATAGACTTGTTGAACACAAAGTTCTTATCTCTGACATTATTTTTGGTTTGTAGAAAGCACTGATAATTGTGCATGCTTAATTCTGTTTACTAACATACTGTGTAGCGAACAAGAACACGGGTGGGGACAATCGACTATATTTAGCACGAAAATTACAGACTATCTCAATAAAATGTGAATACCATAAAGTCAATCGTCAATTTGCAAAATATCATTCCACCATATGAAACTGTACTGTTCCCGTTGCAAACACTAATCTATTGTCTCCCATTCCATTGTACATGCGTTTTCTTACAATTCCATTGTGCTCTTGCTCTTGCTTTCTTGATCTTCGCCATCTTCTGCTGCCGGACATTACGTTCTTTTAACGCACGTTATATACTACTTATATGAACATAAGTAGCTCACACCACAACTGTACTGAATGAAGTCTTGGTAACGATAAACAATTTTCCGTTAAGTGTGTCTTCATAAAATATTAAAACGATACATCAAACAAATCATTTTCACATCTTCCATCACTTGTCCCTTACAAACTTCATCATTCCTTCATCCGTGTTGTTAGAACAATTACTCTTTGCTTACATTTCTGTTGTCTTCAATTCAATGTTCTCAATCTTCTATTGTCAGACAGTCCACTTCTGATTGTTGTTACATACTACTTACATCTGTCAATTTAAATAACATACACCAAATCACGTTAAGACTTTTAGATGAACTCATGTAGCAATACATTTTCAAAAATTCATAATGTCAACTAATTTCTAATTCAAAGATCACTATTGGTTTGAAATCCTTCTGTCGAAAATATAAAAAAATAGTGATTACATAATCATATTGTGTTTACTTACTACTTTATTCAAAATTATTCGAACAGGCATAAAATCATTTGAACGTGAATGAAAAATAATCTAATAATGTCATTAACAATAAATGAGACTGATGTATCAATGAAGATATTAAAATCTTATATGTATTAATTCACTTGGTATTGAGCATCAACTCTAAGATGCAGGTACATCCAGCTGACTAGTCCTAAATAGGACGAAACGTGCGTCCTGGATTACACTGCTAGCCACTATCTATCTTTTTTTATATGTATCGTTGTAAAGTATTTCATGTTTTGAGTATTGTCATGTATAGTCTCTAATATTGACCTTATTTAACCTTAATGGATTATGTTTCTATGTGGTGATAAATTTAATTCATTTATTATTACAGCGTATTGTATACAGTTTTAAATGAATGAAGGCGATTGTAACGGAATCTAGAAAAAAAATCGTTTGTATATACACCACCCATCGTAAGCGTGCTGATACTTAATTAAAATATCCAGTTTGTTAACTTGCAGAATCATTTTTCTGAAGCAATAACTGATCGATTTTGAACTGAATTCTGTGAAACAGTTAATTATTTCAAAGAACATAGACTATAACATGAATTTCAAAGTATTTTGTTCTTTAAAAGCTTGTGTTTTAATAACAGATGACATTGACAACTGGTATATTGATGGCCAGCTTGAATATTTGGGCTACCTGTTCATGCCATCTAGATATTTTAACAAGTTATCTATTTCTTTCGTTTGTTTTAATACATCATTATATCTATTACTCGCATAATTGCTCAGATGCGTTTATGAAAAGTATACGATCTTTCGTTGTATAAGTTACAAAAAGGTATAATCAGTGACTTCATAGTGACTAGTAGTATGCATTAAAAAAAATGAACACATTTCGATTCCTGAACGGCTAACATCTAAACTGACGATCAGTCAGTCAGTCAGTCAGCTACAACGTAGAACCAGGCACATATTTAGATTGATCCAAGTTGCCACACCTCATTAGCACAACAAGAACACCAAATTCATAGAAGTAGTCACTTCAATGGTTGTAATGTATAAAAGAAAGATTGTGTATAACGATATAGTACAGGAAGAAAGAATTATTTGGTAGAAAAAAATATATATAAACCAATTTTAATCTCACATTTTAAGGGAAGACAGAGAGTGTATACACCTACACCATTGTGATCAATTCTGAACCATGTCACCCATAGTCTCCGACCATTGATTACGATAATCACGTGGCCTCAATCAAGTGATCTGTATCTATCAATATGGCTCATGTCAGAAGATAGTGACCTTATGGATTAATGCTATTTTTTGTTTTGGCCGCCTCTAACTTTCTTTCAACCATCCTCAACATTAGTCTGCGTTGCGCGTCGTGGTAATCAGTGTTCAGGTATACGTAAAACGTAGCTCAACAATCTTAGTCGATGAAGATTTACAACCTCATCGACTGATTTACCATCATTCCCTAATTCCATGCATCTAACCTCACTATTACATACCCGGTGATCCCAGCAGATGCGAGTAATATTTCTGAGACATCTGTAGTTAAATATTAGTGGCGTACGAATATCTTCTACTCTTTATACCCACGTCTCGCAGTCGTAAAGTAGAACAGAACGAACCTTAAATGATAGACGGATATCTCGCCTTCGCTATAAGTGTCGTAATTTGTCAAGGGTCAAACGAGCTTTTCGAATCCGTGCTGAGATTTCATCAGAAACGAACCCATTAGAGCTGATCAGACTTGATGCAAGCCAGTCTTGCGTCGTCAGGATTGATTAAGAAATAAGAAAAGGAAACTTGTTGAAATACGTTTTGCTGAGAATTATATTCTGTACCAAAAATATAATATTGAATGAAGCTAATAATAATATATTGTGCAAAAAATTATCGACTTATATATTTTTATATTATATACAGAATATGCTTTCTGTGCTTCACAAATTGTTTCCAATACACACTTAACCTACCTGTAAAGTATAATACAATAATAATCAAAGACGTTTCACCCGAAAAACTATAATCGACTCGTATATGAAAGAGTACAATGTAAAGATCTCAACCAGATCACTCTTATTTTACAAAAAATTCATACAATTTTCTGTATAGTAAATAAAACTAAAAATCATTCAGACTACAGTGTTTTGTTTGAATTCTATTTTATTTTTCTCTAGTTTAGTGTCATAAATGTTTTGAAATTACACTCTAAACATCATAGACATTGTTCTTTTCTTTACTTTGAATCATGATGGATTGATACTGTTCTATCATAGTTTATTTGTGATATGTAACAAGGTAATCTATGTACAAGGGGGAAACACCTTTGGTTGGAGACAAACCTTAAATATATCCATTTGATAGATCTTAAATAAATTGAAATGAACTAATTTCGTATTATCATTAATTCATACTTCATTTATATGAGTTTTTCAATTGTTTTGCAATTAGATGGCCATTTATTGATTTTTACTTAGTTAACGCACTGTTGCATTTTAATTAAGTATTCTGATTTACCATTCATCAGCCAAAATCAATTCTTTTGGCATCTATGATATATTTTTGTATATAATCATTGAAAGCATAATTGGGTAGTGAGTGAATTAGTAACTATAAGCAACACTTGAATATCATCCTGATTAACTGTAAAGTTAATAACAAATAAAGTTTTGATCGAGATTATGAATCGATCAATGTTAGACTGATAGGTTCTGGGTTCGAAGCTCACGGGGGGAGGGCGGGATCGTGGATGCGCACTGCTGACGAGTCCCATACTAGGACGAAACCGCCGTCCAGTGTTTCCAGGTTTTCCATGGTGGTCTAGCTTAAACTGACTCATGGTTTCAACCAGTGAAATATCATTGAAAACTTGTAAGCACTGGATGGTCGTTTCGTCCCAGTATAGGACTCCTCAGTAGAGCGCGAGCTAGAATGAAACAGCCGTTCAGTACTTTTAGGTTTTCAGTGGTGGTCTAACATTAATTAATTCATGATCTCAATCGAGACTCAATATTCTTCAAGGTATTCCTTGATGTTATTATTTCAAGTTATTTTTTTTAATATTATGAATGTAAATGCTGGACTTTAGATTGTAATGGTGAAAATATGAATCATCTAACAAGTGATCAGTTCAATTTTAGTCATTAGTATTAACATGTACAATAAATATGTTAAATAAAATACTTTTCCCGATCATATTATCCAGGTTTCTTTACTTCAGAATGATATAAATACTTCTAGAAGTTTCTAGTACATGAATTTTGTCGAATAGTAGCTTTCCTGTTCAATATTACTATCTTATCAGTAGCATTTCACTGAATGAATAAAAATCAATCTAATTACAAACTATCCTATTGTATGAAATATTCATTATGATTTAGATTGTTTTTGATATTAAGAATAATATTTACTAATATAACTAAACTATACGTTCAAGTTAATGATGAAGTGGAAAATAATTTTGTGATTTAAAAAACCATTTTTTCAATCCATAAGGAATGAGTCTAAATAAATCAATATTATTAGAATAGGGTTATGGAGATTTTTGAGTTTCTTTCACATGTGGTACTGAAGATCCTAGGCTCAAATCACACGTACAGGATCATGAATGTGCACTGCTGAGAAATCCCATACTAGGACGAAATGATCATTTGGTGCTTCTAGGTTTTTATTAATGATCTAATATTGATCAGTTCATGATCTTAATCAATAAATTGAAATTATTTCACTATAGAAGCTTATTATTGATTCTTCAAAGCTTTATCATTATAATCATTTTTACAACAGGGTAAGGAAAGAAATATTGATTTTAAGATCATTGAAACATGGTTATTTTTATGTGATTTTTAATTAGATTTTATGGATTAACATTTTGTACTTAAACTATATGTAATTCTTATATTCCATATTTCAATATGATTTACCAAAAATTTTAGGTAATGGATTTATAGATGGTGAAGAACTTGAAATGTTCATGGGCAAACTAGTCGAATGTATCATACCGAAACATGCTAGAAATGTAAGCCAAGTTTATTTGATAAATATTTACCTATATAATAATATCAGTTCAAAACAATTATGTAGAACGTTTACTCCTTTATTCATGGCTGTTATCCTTCATGGAGGAGTATAGACCATTCACCAGTATTTTCGGTGTAACTCTGTTCTAGACAATCCTTTCCAGTTCATTCCAATTGCTATTCATTCTTTTGACGTCTGCTTCCCATTCTTGGAGCAATGTATTATTCAGTCTGCCTTTTTTCTGTTTCCCTTCACGATTACAAGTTAGGATTTGCCTTGTGATGCAGTTTGGTGATTTCCATAATTTGCGTTCTATCCACCTTTAACATCTATTTTAATTTCCTCTTCAGAAGGAATTTGGTTTGTTTTCTCCCACAGTAGGCTTTTGCTGATGATATCAGGTCAATAGGGGTATTCAATATTTGCGTAGACAACTGTTTATAAATAGTTGTCCAAGTTTTAGCTCCATACAATAGAACTGTCATGACGTTCGTAATAAAGATTGTAACTTTGATGTTGTTTGACAGCTGATTTGAGATGCGTACGTTTTTTCACTTGCAGGACTTCTGTCTTTGCTTTGCCAATCGTTGCCTTTACAACAGCATCTTGCTTGTTCATCGATGATGCTGGTCAAGTACATGAAAGTCTACATCTCTTCCAAATTTTCTTTATTAAGTGTGGTTATGTTATCGTTCTCCGTGTTGAATTTGAGGATTTTGCCTTTTTCCTTGTGGATATTGAGGCTTACTGTTGAAGAGGCTGCCGCAACACTGTTTGTCTTGACCTGAAGTTATTGACGTATATGGGATAGAATAGCTAGGTTATCTGCCAAGTCCAAATCGCTTAGCTGCATCCAAACTGTCCATTGTATCCCGTGCTTCCCCTAAGATGTCGAGGTCTTCATTATTCAGTCGACCACCAGAAGAAAGATGGAGAGGGAAAGTAGGCAGTCTTGTCTGTCACTGGTCCTCACTCGGAATGCATCTATCAGCCGTCCTCCATGCATGATTTTGCAGTGTAGTCCGTCTTATGAATTCTGTATGGTGTTGATGACCTTTTCAGGTACACCATGATGTCGAAGAAGTTCCCATAGAGTCCTTTTATTCAAACTGTCAAACCCCTTCTCATAGTCAATGAAGTTGATGTATAGTGACGAGTTCCATTCAATTGATTGTTTAAAGATGGTCCGTAGTGTCGTAATTTGGTCTGTGCACGGAATCCAGCCTGTTGATCTCGAAGTTGGGCGTCTACTTAGTCATTCATCCGAGTCAGCAACACTGTTGAAGACTTTCCTTGGTACTGGCATTAGTGTAATACCTCTATAGTTCTCACATTTGCTCAGATCTCCTTTTTTGGTATCTTGGTAAGGTATTCTTTTCCCAGTCCGTCGGCACCTGTTCTTCCTCCCATATCTTCTTGAATAGAAGGTGAAGCATACTTGCAGTTACTTCTGTGTCTTACTTTAGTGCTTCAGTTGGTATATTATCAGCTCCCGCTGCTTTAACACTCATGATTTTTCTGTTGGCCATTCCGATTTCTTTGATCATTGATGGAATGACATCTACGGTGAGGTCTGTGTGTGCTCCTTCTATGTCCGGTGGGTCCAATGGAGCTGCCTTATTCAAGAGTTCTTCAATGTGTTCTACCCAACTGTTCTTCCGTTCTTGAACCTCAGTGATTGTCTTGTCTTCTTTGTTTTTCATTGGTCTCTCTGGTTTACTATATTTCACTGCTAGTTACTGTTAGGTTCGTTATGCTTGAATGTTATCACTGATTCGGCTTATTTGGGACGGAACGAAGGATCAAGGATTCAGAGACTCGATAGGCTATTCTGGTCCGTTGTCTCCAACTCATCTAACTCGATCAAGAAGTCTTGGTAAGACATGGAAATGTATTCTACAGGCAACCAGCAGATACCAGATCAATCAGGCACACAAATCAAACATATTTATACAAATATTTATAATCGATATTGTCATGGTAAAACTTTTTAAACATTACTCAATAAGTTCATCAGTCGACTGCCATTCAAATATTCAATCGATAAGTTCGTCAAATGAATGCTATTTAAACATTTAATCGATAAGTTCATCAACTGACTGCCATTCAAATATTTAACATTTAATCGATAAGTTAATCGATAAAATTACAAACTATGAGTTTTGGGGATCTATCGTCCCCAACAGTTTCCTCGTTGGTTGTCTGTAATCATTCAGTTTGATGTGATTCATTTTTGTCAAGAAGCACCAGAAACAAGAATACCATACCTTCTTAGTTAATTTATATAAAAGAATTGCTTATCATAATCCAAACAGTATGAAAGTCAATGACATTACCTTCCTTTCAATATTTTAAAAATATCATATTATTATCTAATTAAAAATTAATGTAACATTCTAGGGTTATTATTTCTAAGAGTTTTGAGTAACTTCAGGGGAATTCTGTTTGCATATTACCATTCAAATATTGAAAATATTTGCCAAACTCTTGTTCTATTTTAAAATACTTCCTTAAGATTAATACATAAGTTTTCCTACTAATGTCAGACATCTTTTCTCTCTCAATACATTCTCACACCAGAGATCGTAAAACATTATTAATTCCATGAGACAGACAACGTTATCGACGAGTTATCGAATAGTTTTAGATACAATGTGAGCGTCGTGTTTCCCAAAGTTTTCATGGACGAGTTAGAGTTGTTTTTATTGTTTATAAATCCCTTTAGATTTACTATTATCTTTGTAGACCTGAAATACTGGAGTGAAATACTTGTAAACATTGTTAAGACAGATTAGGATTAAAAGAATGTCATAGTTTAACCCCATGTAACTAGAAGAAAAATTGGTCGGGAATTATAAGTGTCATTGAGTAGTGACCAAAACCATAATAACTAATCTGTAATGTCAATTGGATTCTACCGATCATGTTGGAATATAGTCACCAATCTTATTGACCGGACATTAGAGTACACTCTATTTTAGTGTAAGGGGACTAGAGACAGTCAGTGGGAAACCTGCAACCTAGGTATTGAATTATCTGGGACTTGTTACCAGAATACCTCTACAATACTTAGGGAACACTATACCACCTATCGGACTCGAATTAGTAACACCGAGGGGTTATTTGAATTAGAATTGACTCTCTGCTTATGTAACCAATGACTATGCAAATTCAGATATTTATAACGAACAGAAAGTGAAGGGCAGAAGTCATCTTGAAGTGACCTTAATTACTCTAGATGAGTTTATTAGGTTTCATATAGTTGTTCCATATTTTTGTATGAATATTTTACGGGAACATATATACATTTTTAAAAATTTTGCAGACCGCCAATAAACTTGAATGCGCTGGTCAGCTGTTTCGTCTTAGTCAGGGACTGTCCAGCAATCGGTGCCTTCAAATCCTGGTTAAGTCGTCTAGAGGTTAAGCTTTCATGAGCAAAACGGATCCTGGATGTTACTCCATAAGTCGGGGTCGTGAAATGCTACTGTTAAGAAGTTTTATTCTGAGATTAAACAGTTGGTTGTCATTGTTGGGCCAACTAAGATTAGTTAGTGATTGAGTTCCAATTAGCCTATCTTCAATGAGAACTTATCTAAATCCCAAATATTTTCGATACAATTTATTTCAACCTCATTTATGTTTGGTAATAAATGGTAATGTTTCTTTCCTTTTGATGAAAATTAAGATTTAAAAAGTTTATGTTTGTATTGTTCAACATGGTAGTAGTAACTACTTCAAGCATACTCCCAACATGATTGACACCATCATACCTTGAACGATATAACAGTTAGTCGTTTAATCAGTTTATACACTATCCGTATTCTCAATGTATATGTGGAAAGGTTAAGTTAATTATCAGAAAGAGGTTTCGTGGAGATTGTAGCAATTTAATAGTTGAATTCATGAGTCAATTAAAGCAGATTCATCATGGAAAACCTGGAAGCACTGGACAGCCTTTTAATTCTAGTATGAGAGTCCTCAGCAGTGCGCATTCACGATCCCGCCCCGTAATTTCGTGGGTTGATTAAAGTTAGATATTAACATTGTTGGATGTATATCGGTTCAGTGGTCTAGAGGTAAAGCGCTTGCGCGCGAGACTGGTAGGTCCTGGGTTCGAATCTCGAGGTCACGGCTTCTCACTAGAACTCCGAGGATTCCCTCACGATGCTAGTGAGCACATGGTAATTATCAGTATAGGTTTGTGGAGGAGTCCCACAGTAGGACGAAACGACTGTTCAGTGCTTCCAGGTTTTCTATAGTGATCTAACATTATTCGGTTCAACATCTCAATAAACAACTTAATCATCTCCACAACACAATACTGATATTAGATTTTCATTTTATTGAATGATGACTGACCTAAAAAACTTTAATCTTGATATCATTTTTGTTAAATTGTATTTTATTCATGTTTATTTTGTATTTTTTATCTTTTTTTTATGTAGAGGCACTGTTTTGGGAATTGTTCTGTTCTTTATATTCATTCGTTTGGACTCAGTGCATTAGTAATTTGGCTATCCTTTAGTTTGTAATACAGATTGAGCTTAGTTAGATAATAAATGGAAACTAAAAGGCACTGAACAGTTAGTTAGTTGTGGTAAAGTATTCATTTAGTAGTTGTTGGTACGATATCATCATCTTTCGAACATGTAACTCAAAAATCCTGAAGTGAGAGCTTAACCTATAAACAGTTGCGGCAGCATTTCATGTTTTGAAAACTTAACTTCAATCAGTTCACGATATTACTCAATCATTTAATATCATTGGTGGGTGACTGACTCATACATGACTGAACCTCGTTTGTGATGGGTTTCGTTGAAAGTAGTTGCTAGTCAATTGGTAGTAAGTTGTGAATGTGTACTGCTGAGTTCCATACTGGGATGCAATACTTGTCCAATTTTTTCTGTTTCGATCTGGTCAAAAACTGTTTCACTAACTTCGGTTTATAATATTAACTATACAATGCACCAATGATTGTTTCCTGTCTTATTTTGATGATTACTTATACTTCCATTTAATTTGAAGAAAGTATAATTGTATTTAACATAACACCTTATTAATTCATATTATCCACACAAACAGTTTCTTTCTTTTCATCTGTAAACTGCTCCTAACATGTCATGTTACCTATAGCAAGGCGAAAGGTGATAAACATGTCAGTAGAATGCAATGTACTATCTGATGCATATATTCATTGGTTCAAGTTGCCACACCATATTGACACAAAAACATATATTATGAGGCTAAGTCGTAGAGTAAAGGAAGTAGTGACAGTACAATAGCATTATCATTATTATTATTGTTATTGATAGTAGTAGTAGTAGTAGTAGTAGTAGTAGTAGTAGTAGTAGTAGTAGTAGTAGTAGTAGTAGTAGTGGTAGTAGAAGTAGAGAAGATTAGGTAAAGAAGGAAGAAAAAATAAGATTTCCGGACTCACAGTCTATGAAGAGACTAAAACGGAATAGATCTGCACTGTTGCCGATGATTTTGAGCTATAACACCATTATCTCCAACTACTGGTTATAATAGTCACGTGCGCTCTAATCAGATAATCTTCATCTATCTACATGACTCGATTCAATTTTTAATTACTACGATACATTGGCGCTATGCTCTAGTTTGACCCCCCCCCCACCCCGATTGCATTTAGCCTACTCCTACATTAGATAATATGCACTCATAGTGGTAGGTGATTATTATTACATTTTTTCTTTATGCACAAAAATTGATATAGTGGATTAATTGCACTTATCTGTTCCGTTCTACAAATCAGTCTCATTCTTAATAGTAATGTTAACATATATGTATATACATACATACATATATGTCAAGTGAACAAAATATGGGAAATATGATTGAAAATTGTTTGATGTTGCTTAGCAGCGTAAGCAACAATAGTGAAAAACGAAGGTTGACAATGATATGGTCTGATAAATTTAATTGTGCATATACTTTATAAACTATTGCCTAATTTACATACAGTAAACAATACATTATATCTTTATCAGTTAAATTGAATGGATTTAAATATTAAATGACAAATACCTTAATTGACATTGTTTTGTTTACATAAAACAAGGGAAAAATAAATACATAATTATTAGTATGAAATTATGGAGACTGTTGAATTGTAATTGAGATCATGAACTGATCAATGTTAGATTATCATTGAAAACCTAGAAGCATTGGACTAGAAGTTTCGTCCTGGTGCGAGACTTCACAGCAGTTGAGCAATATCATGGATTGGTTAAAAGTAAACATTAACAACGTTGGATGTTGGCTAGCTCAGTGATCTAGATGTTTGGCGTTTGAAAGCGAGACTGAAAGTCCTGGGCTCGAATCTTATGTATGGGGTCGTGGATGCGCACTATTGAAGAGTCCCGTACTGGGACTTAGTGGCCGTCCAGTGTTTTCAGGTTTTTAGTGGTGGTCTAAAATTGATCGGTTCATGATCTCAAATATATAGCTATTATAAATAATTTTGTTCATAATTCACTACTATAGGGAATACGCTGACCAAATACTTCAACAAAATCAAAGTTAAATGATGCAAATATAAATGTGTATTATGAATAACATTCGAATTTAGAATTCATGTTTCATCTCATTTAAGACTCATTAAACCTAATCAATTTTTATTTCAATAGTGATGTTTATATTAAAACTTATGTGTAATAGCTAAAACTTCAGATATTAAAGCTTCATTCATCAATCCATTGAGTTAACTGTAAGCTACTAGCACAAACTTTTTCTATGTATTCTTCACCAACATCTTAATATGTATAATGTACAATGTGTAAGATTTTGTAAAAGAATTCAATGTTGAAATTTACATGAAAATAATTCAATAAATCATATCCATAACAAGATGGTACAGTATTATAATTCAATATTCCGTTGACATTAATATAGCTGAACCTGAAAGTCAACCAGAAAATCAAAAAACCTTTAAAACTTCCTAAAATAAATGTCAAACGCATTCGTTTGCAAATGCTATAACTAGTAGGAAGTTATGGCTTGCTTACTTACTTACTCCTGTTATCCCTTGGGGGGGGGGAAGGTAGGCTGCCCACCAGCATTCTCTATCCAATTCTGCCTGGACAATCCTTTTCAGTTCATTCCAGCTGCTATTCATTCTTTTGACGTCTGCTTCCAATTCCAGACACATCATGTTCTTCGATCTGCTACTTTTCCATTTCCCTTGACGATTACAAGTTAGGATGTAGTTTAGTGATTTTCACAATGTGTGCAATATCCAACTCCGACGTCCATTTCCTCTTCATGTGGAAGTTGGTTTTTTCTCTCCCAAAGTAGGCTGTTGCTGATGGTATCTGGTCAACGGACATTGAGTACCTTGTGTAGAAAATTATTTTTAAATACTTGCATTGTTTTGATGATGGTTGTGGTAGTACTCCAAGTTTCAGCTCCGTACAGTATACTTGTCTTGGCGTTCGTATTGAAGATTCTGACTTTGATATTGGTTGACAGTTGTTTTGAGTTCCATATGTTTCTCAACTATAGGAGTTCTGTACTCGCTTTGCTAATCGTTGCCTTTACAATTGCATCGGATCCTCATTGTTCTTCAATGATGTTGTATAGTTACATGAAAGATTATACCTCTTCAAGAGCTTCTCCATTAAATGTAATTGTGTTAGTGTTCTCCATGTTGTATTCGAGGACCTTTCGTTTTTCGTTGTATATGTTGGGCCTACTGATGCAGAGTGTTCTGACACACGGATTGTCTTGACTCGCATTTGTTCGTGTATACAGGCTGGAAGGGGTAGGTCATCTGCGAAGTCCAAATCATGCAGTCAATAATATCGGGAATGAAACAATTTCTTATTGATAACACTGAATGTACTGTACCTATAATTGGTTGATCACTGGGTAGTAATCGTTGTCAAGTGTTCCAGGTCAACCTTAGCGCAGATCCGATTCTACCAACCAAGTTGTAATGTGGCTACTAGTCTAGGTGACTCGACATCGCGTAAACTATGCTGAGACCACCGCCAGCCACTATCTCAATGAGCTGTATCATAAAATGAATGGAATTATTGATATGGACCATTAGGTTCCTGACAAATTTATCTATATGTGTCGTGTTCACAATGTAGTCTAAATATCCTTGATTCGTACATGTGTTGAACTGTGTAATTCACGTTTTTGTGAAGTATCAAGTTAAACTTTTAGTTAATTTAGAAAAAGTCAGCGGTAATGATTGGTAAGTACGAAATTTTCTGTTAACCATTTTCTGTTAATAAAACGATGATATTTTATGACAGCAAGTACATTTGGTTTATTGACTAAGCTAAAATGCAATTTTAATCATCTCTCTAATATTGTTCTTTTCTACTTTTGTCTATTGTTAACAGCAACTATCCGAGGATGATACTCGTGAATTAGTTAATGAGTTATTAAAAGTAATCGATACGAACAATGATAATCGAATCGATATTAGAGAGGTAAGTAGTTTTAAATGATTAATTTGGTTTTTCCTGTTTGCACTTTTGCATTACTATTTTAAATTACTATAAAGAGATTAGTGGATATTGATGACCGTCATTGATTATAGATAATGATTGAGCAATATCGCGAATCGATTAATGGGGGATAAGAAACTGTATGTCCTTCGTGAGAATCGATATTCCTTGGTTCACCTGTAGGTGAGGTTGTAAATGAACACCATTGTAAATATTAAAAGTTGTACAGACTTTTTAATGAATCCTCCTAAAAAAGAACTCTTCTTTGAATCAATCTTTCTTAATTTATTTAACGATAGGTATATTCCGTTTACTTTATTAAAAAATGACATAACTTGGCTAATTCAAATTTATTTATTGAATAGAATTTGCCTTATTTATCCAAACTGATATTACCATGAAAAATAAAAAAAAACTCATGAACAACTAAGGCGTTGGCTATCCACCAATTCAAGCTGAAACTCTATGTGTGTGAACGATACACTCAATCTTTAATCCTTCGTTGAGCCTAATACCATTCTGTATGAACAATTGTCTTTCAAAATTCTCACCTGTAACTTATTTTCATCCATATATATATATATATATATATATATATATATATATATATATATATATATATATATATATCCTTCTTCAACTCTGCGGTTATAATGTAACCTTATTTGATAATTGGAGTCTTGAATCATTGGACAAATTGGACGCTATCTTCATCTTCGCCTGCATTAACATCAATTAGCAGTCAAACGCCATGACATGTCTTCCCTTATATCAATGCACGTGAACAACTGCGGACGCACATTCGACTGGAAAATTATGGAGATTTTAGATAGACGTAATTCCAAAAGCGCCAGAGAATTTTTCGAACCTTGACACTCAAGACAATCAGCAATCAATAAGCACATTGAAATAGATCCAATTTATCAACCAATCATGAAAATTATGTACAAACATAGAAATAAAAAGCAAACTAATTGGAGATACAATCAACAAGAACCAATCAACACTGACGTGTACAGGACAAGCTTTGAACCAAATGTTGAGAAATTCGAACACTTCACTTCTATCTGAAGTTTGTGTTGACGATGTCGTTCAGATGAACGATGAAAGTTCCAAGACCAAACCATCCAGCTCACGGAACGAAAACCCCACTAAATTCTCGAATCACTCTATGACGAAATCTTTTCTAGCATTCTATAGACATATATTTACTATACAACTATAAATACATTTATACAGCTTAAATAAATGATTTCGTGTAAAGGTAAAAAAAGTTTTCTTTATTGAATTCTCTTTTTATTTTTACACATGGATACAATAGTGAATTATTCAAAATAAAGTGTGTCTACTACATTTGAAATGTTGCGCGTCGTCATTGACTTTTATTCGAAAATTTAAAAAAAAAACTATTGATTAAAATTCATGAAACATTTATTTAGGCGACAAATAATTTTGTTTTAATGATTCAATAGTAATAGGAAGTATTGACCGAATCAATGTTCACTTTAAGTTTCTTCAAGATTATGAATAGATCAAAACGATGTAATATATATATAATGGTAATTTGTGAGTTAATTAGAGGTAGACAATCAGGAAAACCTGGAAGCACTAGATGGCAGTTTCGTCCTAACACGGGACTTTTTAACGGTGAGTACCCATAACTTCACCCGCGGAATTCGAAACTAGGATTTATCAGTCTCGTGCTCGAACGCCCAACCTCTATACTACTAAGCTGGTTAGCATCTAACTGTGTTAACGTTTAACTTCAGTCAGAATTTCTTAGTGAAATCTGAGAACCGTACAGTAAATAGTTCATTTGCAAAATATTAGTCGATTGTCTCAGACTTTATTGTTACTTGTTTTCCATACCAATCACTTTCTGTTCTTGTTCTCTTCTCTTCAATCTTCTCTAACTTCTGTCACCAGGCATTTCACTTTTGATTGGTGATACAAACTACTTATATCTGTCAACATCAGTAGCACATACTACATAAATACTTACTCACTTACTTACCCCTCTTACCCATCGTGCAGCTGAGGTCAGTGCATAAGAAATAACAGCTCAATTAATTTCTATCAAATATTTTGACCGAAACTTGATTACGATAATAACTATAGATGTTTCATTTCGTTTCATTTCAGATTTCTAGTTGATATATCAGATTGAAAAAGGCTACTTTCAAGCATATTAACAAACATATCACATATCCTATTACTAATAAACAAAAGAGTTATCATAAAGGGTTTTGTGCAGATTTTTAGTAATTTCAACAATTGAAATCGAATAAATTGAAGCTGGCTAGTTGAAGTTATACATTAACACCGTTGGATGTCGGCTCAGTGATCTAGTGGTTAATCGCTCTAGCGCGAGACTGATAGGTCTTGTGTTCGAATTTCGCGGGGGGCGGGATGGTGAATGTGCACCGCTGAGGAGTCCTATATTAGGACGAAACGGCTGTCCAATGCTTCCAGGCTTCCCATTGTGATCTAGCTTCAATTGACTCGTGATTTCAACTGTTGAAAGAAAAGAGTTGTTCATAGTCCGAGATTTTACCTAAGACCATCGTAAACAACAAATTTAAGTAACAAACATTCAGTTTCATTAATCATCAGTTAGGAATATTAAAAGCCAAGTGTCAATCGTCTCAAAGGATAAAGTTGAGAATCTCTTTGACTTTGATAAATAATACTGATGATTCAATATCTTAGTTGAAAATGTTTCCTAGGGATTTCCTATGATTGTGGGTTGTATTCAACACTGATTGATCTTCACTAAAGGATCATTAGAAGGTAGGGATTATTTAAAAGGTGTTTTGGTCTAGTATGATACTCCCTACCTGTGTTAATTAACGGCTTGATTAACGGTCGCATTCATGACCTTCTTACCTCAAAGTGAATTGGACAAATGCAACCTATTAATTAAAATAATCTACATAAAAGCCCTTTAATTAAATATTAATAGTCAACTCCCTAGTGATTTACTGCAAGATCTTCCTTAAGTTTTAGTAGGAAATCGTAACTGTTGAAAACCAGATTTATTAGGATTGAGGCAGTTATTAACAGGGGTATTGAAACGATAGCCCTGAACTATCACAACTTGAAAGAAATCGAAATTATACCATTCCGATTTTTGACTATTTTCTCTTCAGCCTGAAGGTCCTTGATCTGATCATTAGTGAGATCATTGGTGAGTATGATTCAGGAGTCCTATTCTAAAAGTAACTAGATGTTCAGCAGTCCATGGTTTTATATGGCATCTCAACTGTGATCAGTCTGTAACAGATGCAATATATATATAGGGACTTTTTTAATGTAGTTTATAGTTTATATCGTTGACCAATCTCTGTAGAAAAACCATCAAAAATCAGAAAGCACTAAACAAGTACTTAGTCTTAGTGTGGAATTCCTTTGACAGTGTGCATGTACGGTCCAACCATTGATAAATCACAGGTACTTCATGTCTCAGAGTCATCATTTATCTTCCAGATCGCTAAAGCTTCATCCAACTACTGTTATTTCCAAGCTAAGTCAGTTAACAAAACTGATCAACTATCTTTCTGTTTTATTAGTAAGTAAAAGCATCACGACGTAGATGAACTCCTCTATTCACAGCTTCTTAATAAGAACTTCAGGAATCACCTTTCATAACTAACCATTTTCTTCGTTATTCTATTTTGTGTTATTTTCACCTATTATACTGTATAACAAAATTTAGCAGTTTGTAACGTTGTATCAATGTAATTTATTGTTTATTTCATTCCGTTTACTGTCATTTACTTCCTTTCTTTTCATAATTCTAATTGTTTAACACATGCTGAGATATATTACAAAACTGTTATTTTCAATTAAACTAAGCTATAACTTCATTCTAACATAGAGAATATATTAATTAATAATATTCATAGTAAATGAGCATTTGATAATGAAACTAATCAAGATAGGATTTTGTTAAGATTATGAACTAAACTGTAACCACATGGGTTTGAAGTGTAAGCACTCTCCATAAGATCTAGAAATCTTGAACTCGATTTCAGGTAAGGGATCGTGAATGCACACAGCTGAGAAGTGTCATATTAGGACTAAACGACTGTCCCTAAATGCGGCCGAGAGTGGGGAGAGTCCGCTCTCCTTCACCAAATGCTCTCACATAATCACGCTTACATAGCTTCTGCCAGGAAATTCCTACTTATTGCCTTCTCGTGGCACCGGTGTTGTTTACGAAATGGAGAGGACTAAAAGCGAATGTCTGGCGCTTTAACCGGGTTGGTAGGTACGGAGAGTCCACCTAGGGGAGTTGGAAAACCCTGATTCCAAACCAATAGTGCACGTGGGCCCCAGTATCCTGAAGGAATAAATGGCGTATGAACCAATTGTTGGTCACCGGCTATCATGAGACTGCATCTCCTCACGATGCCCCACTACCTTGTGGATCAGACCCTATGGTCGAAGGCTCGGGGTGTGGCCTCTTAAGAAAACCACTTGTTTCGGTTTGGGCACCAGGGCAGTATCACAGAACTCACACATATCAAATGAGGTTTGTGTGGCACATATGTATCTGGTGTCCCCTTGTATCAGTATTTATGTATTCAAATAAATAAATAAATAACAAATACTAATACCGACTGTTTTGCAATATTATTTAAATATTAATCTTTATTAGTTGTCCACCGCTAAACAGAAAAGAAAACAGTCAATTTTCAAATCATAGATACTAACTGAATAAGATAAAGTGTGTGTATAGAAATAATAAAGACAATTATGGTTAGAATTGTTTGTTATATCAGCGTTTACCAACCACATTCGATGATAAGGATCAATGTCATTATTTTGAATTATTGTAGCCTCTTATATTTGTGAAAAATACAGTGAAACTTTACTGGTATCATGTTACATTAAACTGAAACGTAACTCTGTTTTAGTTCATTTCAGGAAAACGTAAATGTTGACTAAATTTGATAAAACAAAAATATACGTTGAGTTTG